ATTCAGCACAACGTGTGGCTCCTGGTTCCCAGTCGCTGTAAGTCTTGAGGACATCTACTTTGTTTTCGCAGCCGCCGTTGCCCACCATTTTAGTTGGCCGTCTCAAGTATCTGCCGTAAAGGCCCCCTTTGTCTTTAAATTTGGTGAAAATAAATGGAACCTGGGCGAAAAGATGTTTGCACTGACGTGAAGTGGCATAAATGTTGAAGCATATAAACGTCGGATTGTGAAATCGGAAACACACTTATTGCAGAATGGACAAAGACCAGCCGTCAACACTGAGAAGCACATATATTGCACTTGTCCGTGTTCAGTGCTCATCCTTGCCTATATGTAGATGCGCTTTCCCCGTGTGAAGAAATTCTTAGAGAACTGCAGGCACTTTGAGCGTTTCTATCTACCTATCTATCTGTCTATCTTTCTATCTATTTGTCTATTTATCTGTCTATCTAGCTGCATACGTACGGGTTATCTCATGTTTTGTTCCTCAACTTTGGGTAGACAAAAATCATTATGGGGGCTAACAGAGTTTGATGAATATGTTTGGCTAAGCGTGACATGAAGAACGTAAAACTATCGTTGCGTGCGACGTCAGACACAATTCCCCAGACACGTGTGGCACATCTGTATACCACGGGCTATGCGGCTATGCGCCACAGGGCATTGACATTATTTATCTACGCAGGAGTGGCGAGAACATACATTGGTAATTTAAATGTGGAAGCGTTAAAGAAAACTGAAATGGGCAATACCGACCCGACGAGTACAGAGTAAGCATTATGATCTCAGCAGAAATTGAACCCAAGCCTTCTGAGTGGCATTTTGAGTGGCAATCAAAAATTTTACCACAGAGCCACGCCCCGCCAAGGTGGTTTACTAGTTACGGTGCTCGACTGCTGGCCCGGAGGTGGCAAGACCGAAATCGGTTGCAGCGGCTTCATGTTCAGTAGAGACGGAATCGCTTCAGGCTTGTGTACCTAGATTTAGGTGCATGTGAAAAAAAAACAGGAGGTCTCAATTTCAGGAGCCCTCCACTTCGTCGTCTCTCATAATCATTTCGTGGTTTTGAGCCGTCAAACACAAGACATTATTACCATGGCCCGGCGTGGCATGGCTCTATAGCTACCGAACGTCTCTAAACTGCTTCGAGAAAGAACCATATGCAGGCGTAATATAGGTGAAACGCCTATTCTGGTTGCAGTGCTGGGTGTTCAATTTCCTCAACTATACATATCTACTCCCTTGATACAGATGGCACGGCAGGTTGCGTAAATTGTGCACATAGGTGCTACCCACTAAAATGCATTTAAATAGCTCTAGCGAGGTCTATACGTACTTGCAAGCACAAGAAGCACTCGTTATACCATAGCATATTACTGCTTCTGGTGTTGGTAATACCCAAGATATTATTACAACCTCGGCGTCATCACAACTGATATAAAAAACATAAGTCATTGCTCAGCTTATGTTGGTGCGTACAAAATTTGTACATATCTTAAGCGTCATTTTATAATGTTTCGCTCAATAATGAAAATCACACGATAGTCTCCTTCCCTCTGCAAGCTTCGCTCACATAATATCGATTCCTACGGTACGTGGCTTCTGCCATTTTTTTACATGCAAATGCACAAAGAACCACTCTTACGCACTCCAATCGTGGTGATATCCGTAATCACGCTGTGTGAAATGAGCTCGGCGCTTGGAGGTATTGCTCCTACAAACGAGATCGTAAGGATGCATAATGTTTGCTATTATCTTTTCTTTTTAGCCTTTCACGCATTCTTGCTTTTTTAGTTTACGAGTTGTTTCTTCCCTTTCAGTGGTAGTGGCAACATATGTGTACTCCACTTCTTTTTATTGCCTGCAGTGTCAACTTCTGGCCAAACTAAAGTAAGATGCATTGTTCCTTTGACGAGCTGAACCTTCTTCATAGTAGTCAATATAGCTTGGCTTAACCTCAGGGTGCTGCGTGTGATTGAAAGCGATCAATTTGGTAAAGGTACTACGATGTTCCATAGGTCGTTCGATCTGCTACGTCGAAAGTTAATTTTCTGTACTTCAAATAATGCAATCAAAAACTACTGGCTCACACACTTGGGGGCCTATGTTTTCATTCTTTTTATATCAAAGTAAAACACGACTGAGCAGAATAACTGAATATTTATAAACAAGTGAGCTAAAATTACCAACCAAATCTTACCGAAACTGAAATATTGCTTTGTTTTGTTTCCCTTGAGATGTATTATTGAGTGTTTTGAGATTATGCTATGTGAATTCGACCCATTCATAGACACTGCATCTTAAGAGGTGCCTGCAGGTTAGTTTTAATTGAAAGGATGATGATTTTGATAGGTGATTCAATATGTGGGGTTTCACGTCCCGAAACCATCATATGATTGTAAGAGATACCATAGTGGAGGACTCCAGATGTTTCGACCACCTGCAGCTTCGGCCTCCTTAACGTGCACCTAAATCTGAGCACACGAGCCTGCTAATTTTTGCCTGCTTCCAAAATGCAGCCGCAGCAGCCGGGATTCAATCCCAGGAGCTGCGGGTCAGCAGCCAAAATTAAATGGAGAATAGGAGAGGTTGATGCTTCGATAATAGCATTGGCTACTCCTTCTTGATAACAAGAGAAAATTCTCAGTAATAAAATAATGATAAGGCACAAAATAATATACATTAAAACATTCTATGTGCATATACGGTAGTATACTACACCAAATGAAAGTTAATATAAAAAACCGAGTTTTTATGAATGCTAGTAGTGAAGCACAAATTTTATTAGTCAAAAGTAATTCACATGTGGGCGGCCCGGAGTAATCTGTATAAATTGGCACACACCTAAATATAACTCACGCAGACAAATAGTTATACATAACATGAAACATACCAAAACTATACTACCCATCTGCTTTCAGTATTAGGACACCATCGCTGACAACATCATTGACGTTATAATCTCCATAAAATATTTGACATTTCAAGAACCTTCCTGAAGCTGTTTTCTGAAGAGCCGCAGTTGGCCATGAACCAAGCATTTTCTTCACACCGAGCGGTCTTCTATCTAAGCGCAACAAACAGGCCTGTAAAATAATTCGGCGTGAAGCATTTTTAGCTCTTGATGACGTACATAATCGTCAATGTAGCTGTAATAGCACTTAGGAGTACAGGCAGGATTTATCCTGTATAGGACGTTTCGCGTAAATGCTGTACCAAGCCACATAGGCTGACATGTTTTGAAGTTCTAATTTTCACTCAAATCCGTTGAAATGAACATTGTTACGCAAAGGTCCAAGAAATATAAGTCAGATAAGTCAGAGCTTTTAGATTGCCCTTTTTCTTTGATGAGATTGCGGGATATATGTCTCAGGAGGGGGCGGGTTTTATATGATGACAGGGCAAGACTATGATGAAACAAGCGCTAAAAATACACACACTCAGAGAGGACACAGACAAGCACTTACTAGCAACTGAAAATTTTATTTCTAAGCGAACAATAATAAATACATCACACGCATTTACAGGGGAAGTCGGGAATCACATACATGCGTGTGATGTATTTATTAGTGTTCGCTTAGAAATAAAATTTTCAGTTGCTAGTAAGCGCTTGTCTGTTTCCTCTCTGAGTGTGTGTATTTTTAGCCCTTGTTTCATCATAAACCTTTACCAACACGCCCAACTGGCAGTCATCCTAGGGGAAGACTAATTGCCTATGCATTATTGTGAGCCCGATATGCAGCTGTTTTCGTTGTAGTATTTCCTGTAATGTTGATGTGACTGGATATTCATTGAAATGCAAATGTGTGCATTTATTAGTGTGTTGCTGAGATCGCCGGCTATAATAATCTGCTCGTTCATGTTCTTATATATAAACAACAAAAACTTTCACGATAATACTATTGCTTTTTGTGCTTCAGGCACCTATAGTTGGAGCAGAGTAATGAAAAGTCCCATACAAGCAATCAATTTACGCACCTGGACCAACTCAGCTTTCAACGAAGCTGTGAACAATGAGGGCAATAGGAATACGCCTGTTTGGTGTGCACGTCAACGACATTATTTAATGAGCGGACAATAAGCAGTCAAAGAAAATTATAAAGGCTACCTGATGCGTTTCCCCAGATACATAGTTTGGCACATTCCTCAGCATCAGAAAAAAGGAGAAAAATTGGGGGAGGGGGGGGACATGGAAATCGCTACGTATAATGAAGTAAACACCTCTTTGTGCCCGGCCATTTTCATCTCGCATCAGCTTTATTTTGTTTTTACCAACGTGTTTTTGTTTCTCATTTTCTATTCCTTCCTGTCACCTTCAAGGTCGACCAGGTGACGTGGCGCGCTGGCCAACATCCAGGTGAAACCAGCTTCCTCTGGAAGAGGGAGTCTGCGGCTACCTTCACGGCATGGCGATGGGGAGAGTGAGTGCGTGGACGAATGTTGACGCCGGTGATCTTGAGCGGTGCGCAGGGGGAGGAGGAGCGAAGGACCGCAGCGTTTCTACGGCAAGATTAGGTTGGGCTGCCCCCTGACATTCACTCCCGGTCTTCCAGTTGACTCAGTACGAGGATGAGGGTGTGCCCAATCCAGCCTTTCCCCCAACGTTTTACTTTTACGTCCGGTACTTACGCGCATGTTTTTTTGTTTTTTTTTTTTAGAGAGGAGGATTGCTGTCGGTCTGTGCATTCAAAGCTCTCGCAGTGAGTCGTCAACACGCATTTCCAACGCTAGAGGCAGCGCATCGTTTGCGCGCATTGAGCTCGCTGGAAAAGTGTAGTTCGTTGATCATTACGCATGTTTCATGTGCGTAGAATAATCGCAATGAGTGACTACCTTTTTATCAACCGGGATAAATTATCACTACGTCGGTAAAGGGTCACTCATTTCAACTTCCGTGGGGCCATCGTTCTACAAGAGGCTGTGGATTACGAAACCGAACCTTGAATTTATATTCTCACCCATTCTATCCCCGCTGCAAACTATTCATTTTCATAAAATGGTTTCCCGAAGTGCACTCACCGCGTGGTGCCGACGTGCAAATATGTTGCTCGCTCTCTTGTTAACGCTTATGGCCGGACCCATGCTGTGTAAATGCTCGCCCGATGACACAGATTCACAGACAGTGACGACGACATTCGCAACGACTACTACGGCTTCTGCTGCGGACACAGAAGCCAGCTACGTGAACAAGCTCAAGGAATGGATCGGCAAGGCAATGGATCAATCTTCTCCAGAGTTTACTCGCAAGCTTCTTAAAGCCGAGGTGTCGACTGACTGCAGCTTCGGCCTCCTTAAGCTTGTGCGAGCAATCAGGAACCTCGATCCTTGGGCGATCAGGCGTAAGTTAAATCTGACTTTTTTTGTTTATGTAGCGTGTGAGCTATATTACTAAAAATACCAGCATGGTCAGAGGAACGCCGACCACTCACTGTCGGGGTTCGTTCGACGCAACTGTCACGTATATCTCCCTATTTCGCGCTATTGGTCACATCCGCTTGTGGCTGTGAGTAAATACAGTGACGTGGGACCAATCGGCCACCAACATCAGTTAACAATGTTTCATTAACGCTCGAGCAGACTTGAAAAACATTTTGTCAGTGAAATACCTACACACGGTATCGTATCAGTTGATGCACTTTCGGTAATGGGCTCACCTGAATAGAGCACTGCAAACTGCTTCAATATTCATCAAACATTCGATGCTCGAGGTGTATGAATTATATTACTTTAAATTGCTGCAGTTCATTCAAAAGGACAAGTTGTACAAACAAAGTTGTGCCGAAACAATACACTACCATTTGTCAGAACAAAAGAAGCGAGCACCCAGAACGAAAACCAATTAGGAAAAACAAAGTGTTGCGTACTTAACACTTCACGTGATAACAGTCTTTGCAGATAAATTGAACTTTAGGGCTAGCAAAGCAGTCTGTAAAAAACAAAAAAAAACCTATTACCAACCACTAGTACACGCTATCTAAACTAATAGGTCGAATTCATGCCTTGACCAATCCAGAAATCATTGAATAATTGGTATTTTGACTGCAGTATTCTGAAGTTTTTCTGGTGCATCCGCATGCACTTCGTTTCTGTATCTTGGAATTTTTTTTGCCTATTTCAATTGGTTATGATTCCCTACGTGAGTGAAGTGCAATTCTGCAAACGTTCTATGTGCACTTTTTATCTTTGTTTCTGTGAAATTTTGGTATGTACACTTGCCAGCTACTTGTAGACAATTTCCACATAACCATTGTATTGGTTTTGATTTTTGTCTGTTTTTGTTTGTGCTCATATCGAAGCTCAGCATGCACTGCAGGATGACAGGGGCTTTTGTCAGGCTGATTGCCTTTAGCCTTTGCCTCTGCAGCGAGTTCTGTATTGTTCTTACTGTAAATAAACTACTGTAGATAAATAATAGATAAATAAACATTTACAGAGCCCTTTATTGTAATCGTATAAAACCACCGCAGGGAAAAGGCATCGAGTTACAAGTCATGGAAATGACACCTTGTTACCCATAAACTTTATGTGCTAACTGCTAGGTAGGCTGAAATGCCCCGTATACCTATTGCTGAAATAATACTTTCATTTCTAGCAGTAACTGACGTTCTAACGATCTGACAGAACTCCACCAAAAAGCAAACCATCCGAACAATATAAGTAAAATGTGTTTTATATTTTGTTCATTTATTGATCCGTGCCTTACAATGATTTTGAGTCATTGTATAAAACGATGGTAAAGCAAATGCAAAAGTGAGAGATATATACACCAGAAAAACATTATTTCGTGCCATATGCACAACTCAACTCACGAACTTAGAAGCGTTGATTGATTGATATGTGGGGTGTAACGTCCCAAAACCAACATATGAATATGAGAGACGGCATAGTGGAGGGCTCCGGAAATTTCGACCACCTGGGGTTCTTCAACGTGCACCCAAATCTAATTTAGAAACGTTAAAATAAAGTAAAAACGCCGGGTTGTTAACAAGTTCTTTGAAGGCACATCAGAAATGATAATATAAAAGCTACTAATTGTACAGCCACCACACAAAAAAAGAAAGCTGACAGAATTGTGCTTTCTTGAAATCAATGAATACAAAAAAGTGATAACAGGAGAAAAAAATTTATGTCGGTTGCAATACCATATGCAGAAATTGATATGAAAAAGACAAACGTTAGTTTTTTGTGCATTAGTAATATTTAGGTTGGTCTGAAGATAGCGCTTTAGTAAAAAGGGGCTGCAATTAACAACTTCCAATTTAATACTACTATCAGTATATTATTATTATTATTATTATTATTATTATTATTATTATTATTATTATTATTATTATTATTATTATTATCCCCTTTGAAACGAATTGGCGACTAGTATTCTCGAAGCCTGCTGGTCACAATAGTGTAATACTCCGCATTTTACAGTACAGCGTTCTGGTTGTTTTTATTTTTGACACAACTTTCTATTTTCATCAAATATCCTTATTTACACATGCAGCGCCTCTTGTGGTATCAATCTCATCTCTACATTTTTGCATTATTATTCTAAATGTTGATGAACAGATGTTTTGAGCACCCGCCACTGAGCACAAAGCATGCTAATTCAAGACGTATAAATATTGCAAGACAATAAAGTAGCTTTCCGTTTATGAAATACTGCAAAAAAACTCACCAATTATCACGATACTTTGTAATGCGAATTTTCAGTCAAGCGTTGTGTGGAGGCAACGCCAACTGTGAAGTTTTTGCGAAGCGATGTAGCGATGTGACATTAATTAAATATTGCCCCAGAATCTTCCAGCGGTCGAGTGCTACGAACACCGTGATTGCATTGCAGGCGTCGCCAAACGAGCGAAATGCCGACAGCCCCTTTACGACAAGCGAAGTCAGCCGCAGTGCAACTGGCAGCCCTGTATATGCGCACGAACTCCGACCGAGAAACCAGCGTCACAGTGATATGGACAGACTGCGCGCTCGCTTCTTTTCGCATTGGTTCGCTCTGTGGCTTACCCTGACAACGCCACAGTCCAACGCAATGCTTCTCAACGCAGGAACGAGCACCTAAGAGATGCGCTCTAAAAAAATAACGATTTTCAACGTACACTCGCGTGGCTAGTGAGATTTCGGACAAGTCATCATATTTCTTGGAATAATCAACTGGTTACACGACACTAAATTGAAAATTCTGCGTGAACTTGTCACGGAATGGTTGGGTCACAATGTCCAGTGTTTTTTACTTTTACGGGAACATGATTATCAAAACACAATTAATGTAATCTTGCGTCCTGCTAAACATGACGCCATTAACGAAGCATTTCACGATTGCGTGATGTCCGTGCAATAGGCAATAGCCATGGGGAAGGATATGACAGTCGAATATGCACATCCAATCTGTCCTGCTCTTTCTTACTCGTAGCAAGGCAGGAAGTCTTGACGGAACCTGGCAAGTTATATCTTAATCGTTTTTGACCTACAGAATAAAGATAGAACTGTGGCAGCCTATAAAATCTATGGTGGACTATGAAGTCTATTGTCGAATCCCCTCATATTGGCCGAGCAAATGCATATTGGCTGGTGAAGGGGTTTTTTAAAACACGATAGTCTATTTGGGGAAATTCAAAGCAAAATTTTTGGTCTCCCCGTCTGTCTTTCTATCTGTCAGTGGACTTGTCTGTTTTTCCGCTCAAACAATACTCTAAACGGCCAAAATCCAACCCCATCCACAGCGCCCACCAATATTGCTCAAGTTTCATGGTTCATACTTGCGCGTTTGTCGAATAAAAAGCAATTATTGCGCATATCTGAGGCACAATAACAACGTGCTCATATTCTGTATGTATCTATTTATACTAAAAAAGGCATACATAAGTCATTCTAAGGACCGTAGTGTTTATGACGCTGCGCTGACAGTGCAACGCTTGCAGGAAAAGGCAAGTGTTTCCAACGCTTTGCTAAGACGACATCGTGGTGGCATCTACCCGTCGCCTTGCGTTCTACACCTTATTACCTCAGAGACGGGCGCACACGCCGTGCTTCGTCTTCCAGGATAACTGCGACATAACGCTCATGCCTCTCGTGTGACGTGCCTAGATGCGTGCAGCGGAAGCGAACGAGCGCATTGAGGCACTCTAACACAGCGCCTCCCGAATACCACTCACCGACTTTCCTGCGCAGAACATGAAATTAACGTTTTGTTCACTCTTTCCTGACGTAAGACTATCTGCAGTGAAACATGCAGATACGGGGTCATTTTTTTTTAACCAGTTCACCTTGAATCTGCGTGAGAGACTCGCCAATGTGTTCGTTTTTTTCTAGACCATAAACCTGTCGCAAGAGCCCCAGGGATTTACAGCCACGTTGCTTGGCTCTAACGCCTTAATTGTGCTGGGTTTTTGCAAGTGCGTTTTATTCTCACTTTCTGTTTGATGAACACCAATCAACCAAACAACAAGCCAATAAGATGTTTCCAGAGATAATGTGCATGTAGTTTATTCCCAATGCGGTCTAAAAGAAAAAGCCCATGTCACGGGGGTTAGTGATTAAGAGAATGTAATGAGAAAAGCAATACTGAATGCTTTTACTTAAAACGGGCAGTTAAAAAAAACCCTAGCGTTTACAAAATGTCAGTGGACACGAGCAAAGGATTTGCACAAGCTACTGAAATTTGAAGTGATCACACGTGCTTCAAGTCAACCGTGAGTTTCAGCAGCGTCAATTTGACGCATCCCTCGTCCATTAACGTTAAATTGGCGCAATTATTTCCGCAAGGTAGGTCATTCCGCGCAATGTGTGATTCCCATCCACCTATCTCTGCTCACTTCAGCGATTAGAGGCGCACACGTTTCCGGGTATCAAACTAGTGGAGAAATACAACATTGAATGCCTCTTTTCAACGTCTTGCTTAATTTTTTTCTTAAACGCTTGTTTTCCCTCCCACGGCTCCTAAGCACAACGCAGCTGTATTTCAGTCACACAACTCGTCCGCGCGCATCCAAGCATGTACGCACACAATGTTGCTTGATTGATAAGGGGGGTTTAACGTCCCAAAACCACCTAATGATCATGAGAGACACCATTGTGGAGGGTTTCGGAAATTTCGACTACCTGGGGCTCTTTAACGTGCACTAAAATATGAGCACGCAGGCCTACAGTATTTTCACCTGCATCAAAAATGAAGCCACCGCAACCTGGATTCGATCCCACAACCTGCGTGTCAGCAGCCGAGTATACCTTAGCCACTGGACCACCGCACCGAGGCACGCAGTCAATCGTGCACATACCTACGCGCGCATGCTTTATAAACGGACACACATGCTCGACCACGACTGTCTTCGTCTGTACG